CTGAGCTTCCTGAGTAGCTGGAACTACAGGCACATGCCACCATACCTGGCTAACTTTTTTATATGTATTTTTTGTAGAGATGGGGTTTCACCATGTTGCTCAGGCTGGTCTCAAACTCCTGGGCTCAAGCAATCCACCTACCTCATCCTCCCAAAATGCTGGGAATACAGGCGTGAGCCACTGTGCCCAGCTCCAGTCTCCTTTTTTGGGGGGGGTGGAGGGGGTGAAACATTGCCTGAGGGCAAACCGGGGCAGGCAGGGCTTGAAGCCCTTTCTCCTGACTCCAAAGCACAGAGGTACTTCCGAGTCTTCTGGTCACAGAGAGGCTGCCTGCAGCCTGGGGCATTCAGGGGAGAAAGGCCCCCTGCGTAGACAGCAGCGACCAGGTGCGGGAGCAGGTGCAGGATGGTTGGAGGTTGTGAGCTGGGTGGCCTCTTGCTTTCTTGTTCTTGCTGCCTCTCTGCTTCCTGGTGACTTCGCTCCTTCACCAGCCTGGCAACGCCACATGGCAGGAAACATCCAGATCCCCTCAATTTGCAGGGCCCGCCACTTAGAGTGGCACAGGGCTGGTCTCCAGCTGAGCCATGATTTCCAGGTTGGGGATGTGTCCCTGGGGATGAGCGGGTAAGGCCAGTGTAGGGACTTCCAAGGGCTGGGAGCGAGGGCAAGTCTCTCTGGGAGGCCTGGCTCAGGGGGCTGGTGTACCCCGGGGGAGAAGGGACTGCATAGGGACCCACTTGTGGTCTGTGCTGCTTTTGTCTAGGCTGGCCCTGCCCTCAAATCCCTTGCAAGTTGCCCTGCATTGGGACAGAGGGAAGCCTCCTTCCACTTTATATCCAGCAAGGCCTTTGGGGGTGTTTGTGGAATTTTCTTTTCCCTGGGTCCTCTGCCCACCAGCCACAGCCCTGGAGGTTCCATTCAGCCTCCTGGCACAGTGAGGTCTGAGGAAGGCTTAGCGCCTAAGCCAAGATAACAGTGTTCCTTTTTCCTGCACGATGAGAAATCGGTGTGGTACCCAGGGCAGGCAGTGAGGACAGGCAGTATCTGTAGGAAATTTACAGACAATAGTAAAACCGGTGAAAAGTTGGTCTGCTGATTATTTGCAGCACACATCCACAGTTCTAAATAATGTCCCTGAAAATTGTTTTGGTTGGTCTCTATTCTAAACAATTTCTGCTTACTGTTGAGTTCTAACAATGTATATGTAAGCTTCAAATTAGCACATTTTTATTACTCACTCTGATAAACATTGCATTCTTTGTGGCAGTTAATTCAGAAAACCCTGGTTGCACAGTCAGCTCCCAGCACAAGGCAGGCCACTGGTGGTCATTTTGTGATTCTTCTGCCTCAGCCTCCCCAGTAGCTGGGACTACAGCTGTGCACCACCATGCCTGGCTAATGTTTGTATTTTTAGTAGAGATGGGGTTTCACCATGTTGCCCAGCCTGGTCTCAAACTCCTGACCTTGGGTGATCCACCCGCCTCAGCCTCCCAAAGTGCTGGGATTCCAGGCATGAGCCGCTGTGCCTGGCCTGTTTCAGTGTTTTGTTTTGTTTTTTAATATGTTATTTTTAAAGAATAAAGATGGGGTTTCACCATGTTGGTCAGGCTGATCTTGAACTCCCGACCTCGGGTGATCCACCCACCTTGGCCTCCAAAGTGCTTGGATTACAGGCATGAGCCACCACACCAGGCCTGTTTCAGGGTTTTGTGTGTTTGTTTAAGAGACCAACATGGAGAAAACCCATCTCTACTAAAAATACAAAATTAGCCTGGTGTGATGGTGCATGCCTGTAATCTCAGCTACTTGGGAAGCTGAGGCAGGAGAAATGCTTGAGCCCGGGAGGCAGGGGTTGCAGTGAGCTGAGATTGAGCCACTGTACTCCAACCTGGGCAGCAAGAGTGAGACTCCATCTCAAGAAAAAAAGCAGAACTCTAACAGCAATGAGAAACCAACCACCACTGCAGAGCGTCAGGCTGGGTACTGGGCGAGTATCTCCCTGGAGCCTGCTCCAACCCCCTGTAGTCTGGTATCTGGGGAACTGGAGACAAGTCAGCATCGAGGGATGAAAGGCTTCTCACCCCTCACTTCTCCGTAGAGTAAGAATTTGGTTAATGTCTGCTTTCAGCGATGTCTTCACCTACTTCTTCTTCGCCTTTATTGTCACTTCTGCTCTGTTACATGAACCCGAGTCATACCCAAACGCAGTCATGACTCTGGCCCTGGAGGGCCAGGCAGGGAGGGTCACTCTCCCGACAGCAGGCCCACCTGCACTACCCATGCTGCTGTTTCCTCTGCTGGGTCTGTGGTGGCTGCTTGAGCTCTGCGTCCAGGGTGTGGCTGGAGGTATCTCCCTGGAACAGCTGGAAGCGGCAACATCAAAAGGGTGAAGGTGAGCTGTGCCATGGGGAGAACGCCAGGGTCCACAGTGCGGGGCTCGGGATCCAGTGTCAGGTCTGAACGCAGAGTGAGCGTGCATCTGGGGGTGCTCCATAGATCTCTCCTGAATGAATGAAGCCAGGGAGCAGCAGTTGCAATGTGAGGTCAAGGCTAGTTCAGGAAGGAGAGCAACAGATGCTCAAGACCGGGCCTGACCAACATGGTGAAACCCCGTCTTTATTCTTTAAAAATAACATATTAAAAAAACAAAACAGAACACTGAAACAGGCCAGGCGCAGTGGCTCGTGCCTGGAATCCCAGCACTTTGGGAGGCTGAGGCGGGTGGATCACCCGAGGTCAGAAGTTTGAGACCAGGCTGGGCAACATGGTGAAACCCCATCTCTACTAAAAATACAAACATTAGCCAGGCATGGTGGTGCGTGCCTGTAGTCCCAGCTACTGGGGAGGCAGAGGCAGAAGAATCACTTGAACCCAGGAGGTGGAGGTTGCAGTGAGCCGAGATCACACCACTGCACTCCAGCCTGGGCAACGAGAGTATAACTCTGTCTCAAACAAACGAAGAAGTGAAACAGTATGAACTGCAAGGAGAAGTGTTTGTGTTTGGTAAATTAAAGTTTTAGTTCATACATGAAATATTTTACTGAATTTGAATAATTTTTTAACATGAAAATTTATTCTTCTATTAAAACAGTTTCAAATCATAAATCAAGAAAAGAATGTCTATTACTTTATTACTGTATTAGTCTTCTAAGGCTGCTGTAACAAATTGTACCACAAACTTCGTGGCTTCAGGCAACAGAAATTGTATTTAAGACAAGGTCTTGCTCTGTGGCCCAGGCTGGAGTGCAAGGGTAAGATCTTGGCTCACTGCAGCCTCAAACTCTTGGGCTCAAGTGATCCTCCAGCCTCAGCCTTCCAAGTAGCTGGGACTACAGGCATACACCAGCATGCATGGCTAAGTTTTAAATTTTTTGTAGACTTGGGGTCTTGCTATGTTGCCCAGGCTTGTCTTGAACACCTGGCCTCAAGTGTTCCTCCTGCCTTGGCCACAGCATAAATGTCTTATCTTACAGTTCTGGAGGCCAGAAGTCTTAAATGGGTTTCATCAGCCCAAACCTGGGTGTTGGCAGGCCTGCATGCACGCCCTCTGCAGGCTCTAGCAGGCATTCCTTGCCTTGTCTTTTCCAGCTTGCAGAGGCTCCGCTGGGGACTTAAGTGGAGTCTGTGCTGGTTTTGAGCCTGCATTCCTTAGCTCGGGGCCCCTTCCTCCACCCTCAGAGCCCTTCACTCCAATCTCTGCCTCCGTGGTTACACAGTCTCCTCTGCTCTCCAGTCTCCCTCTGTCTCCCTCTGATTAGTATCTGTTTGATGACTCTTAGCGCCCACCCAGATAAACCAGGATAATCTCCCCATCTCAAGATGCTTAATTTAATCACATTTGCAAAGTTCTTCTTCCCATATAAGGTCACATTGAAAGGTTCTAGGGATTAGGACCTGGACTTTTTGAGCTCATTATTCAGCCCACCACAATTACCAAAAATCATTTTGTCATGTGGGGAGGGGGTTAAAAACGACCTACTCTGGGTGTGAAATGAGGCCCAAGGCGTGGCCCTGCAGAAAATGCATGTAGACAGCAGGTTCTGTTGTAGATGAGATGAGAACATGCTTGACTCAAGTCAGGGACACGTGTGCCTGTGCATGTGAGGGGTGTGTGTATATGTGTGTGTGTGTGTGTGTGTGTGTGAGATCCATAGGCAGGGACATGTGTGCCTGTGCATGTGGCGTGTGTGTGTGAGTGTGTGAGTGTGTGTGTGTGGGGTCCATGGGCAAGGACGTGTGTGCCTATGTATGTGGGGGGTGTGTGTGTATGTGTGTGTGTTCCATGGGCAGAGACGTTTGTGCCTGTGTATATGGTGTGTGTGTGGTCCATAGGCAGGGACCTGCGTACCTGTGTATGTGTGTGTGTGTGTGTGTGTGTGTGTGCGTGCATGCAGGGTTTGTGGGCTTGATTGAGAGGTGTGCAAAGGGTGAGCATGGGACTATTCTGAGGGCTATAAAATGTGGTCCTCCTTCGGGGTCAAGGCTATTTACACTCAGCGCCTGTAGGGCCTTTATGTTTGTGCTTATGAAGACTCTTCTCGGCCTGCACATCCCTTGCTACCACCTGACATACGCTGTGATACAGACTCAGTCTGCTTTGTAATTCACTGAGCGCCCGCTGTGTGCAGGGTACTCTTCTTTTTTTCTTGAGACGGAGTTTTGCTCTTGTTGCCCAGGCTGGAGTGCAGTGACGCCCTCTCAGCTCACCGAAACCTCTGTCTCCTGGGTTCAAGCGATTTTCCTACTGCAGCCTCCCGAGCAGCTGGGATTACAGGTACGCACCACCACGCCTGGCTAATGTCTGTATTTCTAGTAGAGATTTTCACCACGTTGAAAAACCCACTCTAGTAGAGTGGGTTTTCACCACGTTGTCCAGGCTGGTCTCAAACTCCCGACCTCAGGTGATCCACCTGCCTTGGCCTCCTAAAGTGCTGGGATTACATGTGTGAACCACCGTGCCCAGCCTCTTCTTCTTTTTTTAATAGTAGAAAAAAAAGCCATAGGGGAACGTGCAAACACAGTCCCCACTCACCCCACCAATTATGCAGGCCAGTTTCCCGCATTTGGGGAAATTGCAGGTGTCAGTCCACCTGGAATTTGATGGGTGGACTTAACCCTGGGCAAACCACCTTCGTGATCATGGTGTCTCCCCTGCCAGGTGAGTGTGCGGTACTCTTCCAAACATGGGGCCTCAACAATTAATGTGCAGACAAAATCCTTGCACTGTGGTGGCCAGTCACATCTGTGTCTATTTGTCTCACTGTTGCACTCACAGAATGTATGTGCCTCGAGGGCAGGCACTTTTTCTAATTAATTAGAAGTCGTCTCCTTAGAAGACTGTCGTCACCTGGCAGAACTCAGTGAATATTTACTACACGCATCCCATTGGGTCCCTCTCTGCAAGGTGAGAATTTAGAGTGACAGTTCTCCAGGTGAAAATGTCTCAGCAGGGCACAGAGGGAGTTTCTTGTTTCCACATTGTTTTTTTGTGGCAGTGCGATTGTTTTTCCCTGGAGTTTCCTCAGAGTCTTGCATTCTAGTGTCTATTGTGGATCCAGGTTGAGTTTTGAATGATTAAATGTGAAAGGCTGGCAGCTGATGCTTGGATGGCTCATTTGCTGTTTTGCCAAGATACATACTGGGTGCCATGAAATCCACTGGGCTGAAAACACGCCTCAGAAGAAGTAATTTCCCCCAAATTATTGGATCTGAAAGGTTTCTGTTTGCACTTCCCTCTAATGTTTCCTGTTCCCCAAACAACACTTGCAGCCCCAGCACCCTTGGGTCACTCCCTGTACCGGTCGCTCCATTCCTTTGCCTCCGTTCCTGTACGGAGGCAAAGGAACAAGAGAATGAGCATAGTCAGGCACGTGTTGGTCTCCAGGCAAACTCAGCCTGCGGCCTTAAATTCGCTTTGGGGTCTTTCGGATTCTATTCTAGCCCTGCAGAAAGGAATCAGGCCTTCACATTTCACTCCAGCTCCAGGATTCAATTCAGAATCTTTCCAACTCAGGGTAAAAACAAAACGAAACACAAAGGGGAGAATTTATGGAGAAGTGTTGCAAGCAAGTCACAGCCCAGACACTGCTCCTTTACTGATGTCCTGTTAGCGACGTAAACGATCCAGAGTTTCGGAGGACAGCGCCCTCTGTCCTTCCCTGGGGTGGAGCGGGAGGGCAGAGAGGCCTAGGAAGAACACCTGAGCTACCGAAGAACAAGCCCATGGTGACAAGAGGCAGGCCGAAGGAAATGATATGAACACACAGCCCTGACACGGACACATGTCAAGGCTGAGATTCCGGCCTGGGGTTCTGATGCCGCAGACCGTGAGAGCAAAGCTAAGGGAGATTTCTAAATGTCGGCCCCGGGCTCCTCTGCGGAGCTACAGCTTTGTTCTTTCTCATGCACCAGTGGGAACATTTAAGTCCTGTGTTTGGCAGAGCCCAAGTACTTTCAGGCTGGCCTTCCTGCCAGGTTTCTCAACACTTAGTGTGAACAGTTCTTCGTAGACTTGCCAGAAATGGGACGGGAATTTCTTTCTTCTTCTAATTCTTCTTCTTCTAATAACTCCTCTTCCCCCTTCTTCCTCTTCCTCCCCCCTCCTCCCCATCCTCCTCCTCCCCCTCCTCCTCCATCTCATCCTCCTCCTCTTAATTCGCTTTGGGGTCTTTTCCTCTTCCCCATCCTCCTCCTCCTCCCCTCCTCCTCCTTATCCTCTTCCCCATCCTCTTCCTCCTCCCCTCCTCCTCCTTATCCTCCTCCTTCTCATCCCCTTCTCCGTCTTCTCCCCATCCTCCTCCTCTTCCTCCTCCTCCTCCTCCTTCTTCTTCCTCTTCTATCTTCTTCCTCCTCCTCCTTCTTCTTCTCTTTCTTCTTCATGCCTGTCTTCCAGGATTATACCTCAACAGGAGGAACATGGTAAGAGGAGGGAAGCACAGGGAATCAGGATGGTGTCAGCCCCTGCCAGCCCAGGACTGTGGTTTGGGGCACTGCAGCGCACCTGCAAGGGTCACTCTGCATCAACAGGCACTGTGGGAAATGGCTTTCCTATCGCAACCTGAAAAGCTCCATGTGTGTGGCCCATGGGCTGGGATCTGGGCCACAGCCCCCCTCCACCATTGTTTTGAAGCCTGAACCCCATGTCCCCACACCTCCAGAGACTCCTGAGCAGCTCAGGGGAGGGAGCCGCGTGTTCACCACGGCAAATCTGGACAGCCGCAGCCTGGCCATATTTCACCTTTATGCCTGCTGAGCTTCCTTCTGCTTTCAGAATGGGGAAATTCAGACATCAATGTGAGCTGTCCAAGAAGTTTCAGTTCCGTTTCTTAGACCGAGAGGAGGCGCACGGGTAGGTTTTGCTCAGATGACGAAGGGAAGGCAATAGGCAGGCAAGGTGGCCAACACCACTGCTCCCAGCAAGGCTGCGGCCGCGTGCTCTCTGCTTTCCCCAGAGGCAGTCCTGCCTCCTTCCCTCTCATTCAACCCGTTCCTATTGCTAGGCATGAACTTTCAACCAAGGCTTTGCCACCTCTTCATTATAAGGCAGCTCTTACAGAGAAACTGCATTACAAATGTGAAACTGCGCACCAATGACACGACCATGCAAACTCAATTCTGTAAAAAATATTCTGTTTAATTGATTTTCTAAAAAAATCTATTAGTTTCTGTGAGCCTATTGATCTGCAACTCCGCAGACGTAATGAAGAAGCTCTGTGATCAATAAGGCCGAAGCGTATCTTACCCAGAATCTGTTCCGCAGTCCGCCAAGGATGTGGCCGGCCTATTCCCCAGACAGCATCGGGAGTGTGAGCAGCCTTCTCTGTGTCTGTGGTGATCGATTTCTCTTGGCATAAACATAACACATGAAACCCTGACGACTTTTCTTGCTCTGAAAGCCAAGAATATATCATATCAGTCATCATGAAACACGCAAGAACACAATTTGCAAAAAGAAAAACTGCATTTTAACCTCAGTGCATTAGCTCCTCATATTTATAATTAAATATTATTCCCATATTTAATCAGGATAATATTTTACTCCTCAGCTCTTAGGATGGACTTCTTTCTTTTATATCCACTCCTACCTGCTCTCCGCCAAATTCAGGTTGGTTTTACCAGTCTTAGAAGGATTTTCGGTTTCAGCAGTGAATGCAAAGCATAGGTAGCTGCAATCACAGGCTGATAATTCCGAGTAGAGCAAACATCAGTATCTTATCCTCTAGAAAATAATAGTGTGGAATGAGATAAGACGCTAGCAACACACACAAACAGCATCTGGAAATATGGCAGGCAGCACCGGGCAGCATTTGCTGGGGAAGGAAGAGCTCCCTGCCCCCATAAGTAGTCTTGATTGCTGATGATTTCAGGATCTATCCTTTGCATTTTGCCCTTAAACCAGAGGACACCACATGGGGCGGGTAGTGATTGGTTGCTGTGTAAACGCATCCTGTTGCATTGAACAGACTGAAGAGCAAGGTTTATGGCCGGGCGAGGCAGCTGCACCTGTAATCTCAGTACTTTGGGAGGCCGAGACCCGTGGATCACGAGGTCAGGAGATCGAGACCATTCTGGCCTAAATGGTAAAACCCTGTCTCTACTAAAAATAAAAAATTAGACGGGCGTGGTGGCTTGAGACTGTAATCCCAGCTACTCGGGAGGCTGAGGCAGGAGAATCACTTAAACCTGGGAGGCAGAGGTTGCAGTGAGCTGAGATCACACCACTGCACTCCAGCCTGGTGACAGAGTGAGAATTCGTCTCAAAAAAAAAAAAAAAAAAAAGACAAAGGCTTTTTCAGGACTATCGGTGATCGGTCACCACCCGGTTCAGAGAAGTTGGCTGCTGAGGCTGGCTGGGTGGCAGGTGGGACAGAGGGTGTGGTGGGAAATTAGATTATCAAGATCAGCAGGGAACAGATCTTGAAGGAGGTTGCCTGAGGGCACTGGGGAGCCACAGAGGGATTTTTATGAGGGGAGGGAAGTGACCAACCCAGGAACTTTGAAGCCATCACCTGCCACCGTGCAGAACGGCAGTCCTTAGGTCGCTTCTTGCACCCCTGAAAATAATAATGATGGTGCTAATAATGATGGCGAACATACTGGACCAGACTGTGCTGCAAGTTTTGCAAGTAGCAACTCATTTAATCTTTACAACACCCCTATCAGGGAGCTCCTGTAATTCTCCCATTTTACAGATGAGGAAACAGAGGCACACAGAGAGTTCTCATGAGACAGGTGCCTATCCCAGGAACCACAGTCCCTTGGTCTGGAGTGGGATTACACCCTCTGTTCTCAGCTCTCAGGAAAGTGTGCTGGATTGGAAGCACCCAAGTGAGGATGTCTTTCATGGAGGAAAAATAACCTTGACTCCGTTCACATTTGTGTTCTAAGAAGCGCATCACTTGGGAAAAGCGTGATGGTTAGTAATTTCATGTGCATATCTTCCGGGGACAAAGATGGACCCGATTTGGAGAGTGGAGTGGAAGTGGGGCAGCTGCAGAGAAAAGGGCAGGAGGGTGGTGCAGCTTCGGGATGGTGGGGCCGGGGGGTCAGCGCAGCTTTGGTATGGTGGGGCTTGGGGGGTCAGCGCAGCTTTGGTATGGTGGGGCTTGGGGGGTCGGTGAAGCTTCAGAATGGTGGGGCTGGGGAGGGGTCGGTGAAGACTAGGGATGGTGGGGCTTGGAGGGATCAGTTAAGACTCATGATGGTGGGTTGGGGGTGTCAGTGCAGCCTGGGGATGGTGAGGGGGAGTGAGGAGTGAGGGGCTGGGCCCAGGTGTCCACCTGGAGTGCCCGGCGGGTGGTGGTGCAGTTCAGATCTACCTGCCGCTGGGGACTACCCTCTACCCCCTCATTCCAGCCTTTACTGAGCTCCTCCTCTGCACAGCATTCCACTTCACCAGGTGCTGGGCTGAGGCAGTGACTCTGGGGATATGCAGGGAGCACAGAAAGAGGAATTGAAGATGAATGGAAGAGCTGAACTGTTGAAATTCATGCAAAAGAGATTCTGGGAGCTACACACCTGGTGCCACGAAGCATGTGAATACGCCATGCACATGTAGAAAATGTAAGACACTTTACATTTAGTATGTCAGTTAACGCTTATGACTAGCACAGAAGGAGGTCCTACTGGAACATGGTCAGTCCCCAGTTGCCTGCTAAGACGACTCCCCGAGTTGGCCCCCTTCGGAGAGTTGGGTTTCAGAGAACTGGCTTTGAGCCTGGAGCCCAGCTTGGAATCTGAGAAGGGGAGAGGGAGACCCAAGGAATGGGAGAGAAAGTAGAAGGACACGTTTCTTCTGTTGGGTCAGTGCCTATTCTGGGGTGTTGGGAGGACCTCTCAAGTGGGACCCCCCGCCCCCAAGTACCACATGGCTCTGCTCTAAATCACTCAAACCTCCAGAGCTTCATTCTGTCCAGATGACAAGACTGGGAGGCAATTTGTTAATACAGGGGTCCCACGGGTGTCTCTTGGGCGTTTGGGACCAGAGGTTCTCACTTGAACAGCACACTAGAATTCTGGGGGGACCCCTGAAAACTTTCGATGCCTGGGCCCCACCTCAAACCTGTTGGATCAGGGTCTCTGGGATGAGGCCTGGGCACTCCCAGTTTTATAGCCCTTCCCCCAGTGACCCTCACCATGTTGCAGCCAGAGCCAAGCGCCCCTGGGATTAGCCATCGATCACACTTAAACATCGTCAACACCTCAGATAGAACTGCACAGGAGAGGCAGCGCGAGGGCCGGGAGGGGGCCTGGGGGAGAAGGGGAAGGAGCAGGAGAGCCTCCAGGACAAATCCCTGTTTCCTCCCACGAGGACTAGTGACGGAAGGCCCACAGGACGCTTTGGTGGAGGAGAATCGCGTGTGTTCCTGGCTTGGAAAAGGCACTCCCCTCTTGTGTGCCAGGGGTGTGGCTGGATGGGGTGTGGGACTAGGGGTGGAGCAGAGGATGGGGGTGGCTGTGAGGTGGTGGGGTGGCTGTGAGGTGGTGGGCTGGCTGCTCGGGCTTTCTAGCTGATGTTTGCAGGGCCGCCTCCACAGGTTGTGGGTGTGGCAGGTGGGATGGGGAGGTGGTCAAGGAAGTTGAGGGGGGTCTCCAGTTAGCCTTGAGATGGCAGGTAGCCCTCCTTGTTTCCTGCTAATCATCCTGACAACCTGTGTTCTTGAGTTTCGCAGGAAACGACTGTGGAAAATGAGACCACAGTCGAATGTGTAAAATTAGAGACCCGGTGGCGATCCTGCCTGGAACGCGATTTGTCACCCTCTGTCGAACTGAGACACTGAAAGGCTCTCGGGGTCCCGAGGAGGCTTTAGGGCTTGCAGTTCCCCGCCCAGCTCTCTAGGAGAAAGCCTGCTCAGAGCCTGGCTGGCATCCCAGCGCTGCACTCCGGCTCCCGGGGAGGACGTTCTCGGTCAGGACTCCGGGCACCTCCTCCGTGTCTGCACACTTCTGACTGGGAGCCGCCGCCCTCCCACGCTGCCTCTGGCTTCCTGGCCTGGCTCCTCTCCCCGCTGGCACGGCGGGCGGCCTTTCCGGACAGGCACTTCCTAAACGCTGCTCCAGCTTCTGATGGGGGTCTGCGCTTGGAGGCTCAATGAAAAGAACCAGGACAGAATGGTGAGTTTCTCACCAGGCTGGGCGTGGTCCTTTCAAGGGCAGCTCCGTCTCCTGAGAATGCGTCCCTTCCACCTTTTGGTGTTAGAAAGTGCTTTGTTTTGTAAAATAATAGTGATTTTGACTGGCCAATGCTTTGAAAATACCTACTCAGAAGACAAGTGGGCTGTTCGTGCGGGTTCCCTACGTTTCTGTTTTGAAATTTATCGCCTGGAGGAAGCCAGCTGATGTCTGAGTTGGGTGTTTCATCTTGGGGTGAGGTGTGGGGAGGGCAGGGCTTCCAGGCAAGTGCGACAGTGTTGACGTGGGGGGGCGGTGCTGTGGGGACCCCAAGTCACCCTTTTCACACCTTGATTTCTACCAACCTATGCCTTGGGGCGATTGCATCGTGCTCCATGGGTACCTACCATGTGAAAGATACCTGGCTAGGTCCTAGGGACAGACACCAAGATACAGGAGACATGGTCCCTGCTCTCAGGTCAGCAAGCCAGGACAAAAGGCAGGCCCAAAGTGTCACTTGTCAGGAAACAAAGCTCCGGGAGATGTCAGATTTTGGGACCACTGTCAGCATCACCTGGCCCTCCAGCTCAGTCACCTTGTTCCCTGGAGTAAGTGACCGGGGTTTGAATTCCTTTCTGTTAAATGGGACAAAAATCTGTACTTCAGTGGCATCACCTGGCTAATTTCATCGCCCGAGGCAGATACATGTATATGGGTGTGTGTGTGTGTGTGTGTGTGTGTGTGTGTGTGTGCATGTTTTACATGTAAAACCCACACTTCCCACATTTTACAACTGTTTTATCGGGCTTGTGTGTTAGCTTGTTTTTTTTAAAAATCACTCTTTGGCGGTGAAGACTGTGGTAGGTTAATGTTGCACAGGTGTGGAAATAGTTGTGTTATTGTGAATCTTTTTTTTTTTTTCTGAGATGGAGTCTCGCTCTTGTTGCCCAGGCTGCAGTGCAGTGTTTTGGTCTTGGCTCACTGCAACCTCCACCTCCCGGGTTCAAGTGATTCTCCTGCCTCAGCCTCCCAAGTAGCTGGGATTACAGGCGCCCACCAACACACCCAGCTAAGTTTTGTGCTTTTAGTAGTGACAGGGTTTCATCACGTTGGCCAGGCTGGTCTCGAGCTCCTGCCTCAGGTGATCTGCCTGCCTTGGCCTCCCAAAGGGACCACAGGTGTGAGCCACTGTGCCTGGCCGTTATTGTGAATCTTTAGGGCTTACTGTAGCCCTTGGCTAGCCCTTATAGCTAGCCGGTGTGTGTGTGTGTGTGTGTGTGTGTGTGTGTGTGTAAGAGGAGAGAGAAAGAGAGAGAATGTGAATGGTCTGGAATAGAAAATGGTTCTTAGCTGTCTTGTATGATGTGTATTCTCTTGTCCTGAGTTTCTAGTGAGATCAGTCCAAAGAGAAATCAGAATGAAACAGGATTCCCTGGCAGAAGAGAAAACAGCGTTCAGGGCACGTCACGTTGTTTAAGCTCTAGAGCCCGGATACTAGGATGGGATGTGGGCACGTTTGGGGTTTCTCTGTGAGCAGCCATTCCTGGGATCTGTATATAGATTTGTCAGTGGAAAGCCTCCTTGGGGAGGGAGAGGAAGCTCTCCAGGGAAGCCCTCCCAGTGGGAAAAGGCTTGGTCATGGCCAGGCACCCTTGCTTTGAGGCCTGCTACCTCACAATGATGGAGCATGAGCCCTGGGCCTGCATGGCTCACCCTGCTCACCACTGACCACTACCACTTTCAGTTCTTCCAATACACCAAGCCTCTCCCCACTCAGGGCTGGCATACTCCCTTCTGCTGGGGTCTCCCACCCTCACCTGTCTGGCTCCTCTCATTCCTTAGCTCTTGGCCCAAGCACCAGGCCTGCACTGACCCCTGGCCGGTCCCTGCTGCTCTCATGACACCTCCTCCTCCTCCACAGTGCTCACTGCAGTCAGTCCTGTTGTCCTTGCTGGCTTCCTTGTGTATTATCTGTCTCCCCAGCAGCTCATGTGCCCTAGGGGGCCAGGGACCTGTGTTCCCAGGGTAGCTGCTCAAGAAATACTTTTGGAATGACTGGTCCTATTTGACCTTTATTTAATTTTCATTGAATCTCATTTAATCCTCTAGCAATCTGAGAAGTAGAGACCATCTTAGCTGCATTTTACAAGGGAGGAAACAGTTTTCTGGAGGGTGTGTCACTTGCTCAAGACCACCCATGTAGGGTGTGGCAGAGCCAACACCTGGACCCATGTCTGCCTGACTGCAAAACCCAAGCTGGAAACGATACACCTCTCCATCTGTAGGTTCCTGTGCAAGCAACTTCCCAAGCCTGTTTGCTGCCATCCTCCCCGAGTAAGACATGGGGGCACAGATAGGTCCTACACAACAAACTGGAAGCCCCTCTGCGTATCTCCCAATCCTGCCAAGGAAGCAGAGAAGCCAGAGATTTCCAGGCATCAGACCCACTGTAGCCAACACCCCCCCAGGTGGGTCCCCCCAACTGGTGGAAGGGCAGCAGCCAACTTGTTGGGCAAGGCACACACATTCTGGGCTTCCTGGTGAGCAGGCCACAGGCAGGAGGGAACCAGCTGGGTCTTGCCCTGGAAACTCTTGTGGCCACCTGCTGTCCCCTTCCTCGTTGGGCAGACCAGGTGGCCCTAGCCTGGCAGCCTGGGGAAAGGAGTCTCCTTATTTTGTGATTAACAAAGACTCAGATGGCCCTTGAGCAGTGCTGGCCCAGAGGCCCTGTATTCCCAGCTCTGAGAGGACTTCCCATTTCCGGAGGCTGTCATTGTGTCAACACAGAGCCTCTTTGCCCAGTCGGTGGCTAAAACCCTCCCCAGTAGCTGCCGGCATGCCCCAGGTGGCAATCTCAGGGACCCGAGGCCACAGCTGGAGGGGTCTCTCAGTCTTCTCTTTCTGCTGCCCCTAAGCCCAGCTCCATCATGGCTGTGCTTGCCTGGAGCCCCAGGGTTGGGGAGTGGAGCAGGAGGGGAGGAGGTAGGAGGGAAGGCATGTGGAGGAGCTCTTCTTGAAAAGTGGTCACTGGGTCTCAGGCACTCCTGTTAGAAGAGAAAAGACTCTAGAGACCAGAAGTGGAGCAGGAGGGGAGGAGGTAGGAGGGAAGGCATGTGGAGGAGCTCTCCTTGAAAAGTGGTCACTGGGTCTCAGGCACTCCTGTTAGAAGAGAAAAGACTTTAGAGACCAGAAGTGGAGCAGGAGGGGAAAAAGTGTCACTGCCTGGATGGGGACCCGACTTAATACAGTGTTTATTTAGACTCTAGGGGTGAGGTTCAGAAGAGGGGAAGCGGGTAGGTCTTTTCAAGCCAGAAGATGGGACTGTCCCCATCCCATCTCTGAGTTGTGCCGGCTGGCAGGACCCAGATTTGTGTGTTGGCTGGGGTCTGCTGAGGATGTGGGGTGCCTGCCCTGGTTTTATGGGGTTCAGCTGTCTTGAGATGCCCCCAGTCAGGGCTGCCACGGTGCCAGCAGCTGGTGGACATGCCAGGGTTTACTGCTTTACATGTTTTATCTTATTTCATCTTCTTATCTCCACAGGATGGACAGCATCACTCCATCGGCAGGAATCAGTGCTCACAGGGGTAAAGATGCTTGTATGGAAGCATGGAGCCGGCGAGGACCCAGGCCATCACCTCCCAGACTCCTGACTCCCAGGCAGAATATTACCGACTAAGCCTGGATGCTGGCGACTCCCCAGGCCTTGCTTCAAGTTTTGACTCCACTGCTTGTGAGTTCTGTGACTTATGAACTCTAAGAATCCATTTCCCTCTTTGCAAAATGACAGAAATAGTAGTTATCTCTTCACAAGGTTGTAAAGAGGATTAAACGAGATAATGTCTGTGAAGCTCCTGGCAGGGTGTTCAGCTGCCTAGGTTTGGAAATTAGTTTTCCATTGAAATTTTCTTAAAGAGGGGAGAATCCAGATAAAATATAAGCATCATCATTTAGTACACACGTGAGACACATATGTAGTCATTATCTATATATACACCTCTGTACATATATTCAGATATACACACACATCATCTATACACATACACGCATCTACTCATATCTATTTATATATACACATAATTATATATTCATACTTGCATATTCATATTCATCTCATATACACATATATATGTAATATATACATATATTCATATCTATCTACACATAAATACATATACTAATATATACATGTATTCATGTCTACACACATATACATATATTTATATCTGTCTACACATATATATACATATATTCATATCTACGTACACACATCCAGCTATTCCTATCTATGCATATAGATTACATTTCTATTTCTCTAAACACACATTTGTGCATCTATATTCATGTCTGTCTATCTATACACAAACACGCACATGCACACACACAGCCCTTTTATTTTTCTTTTCTTGGCTGGAAAGGTGGAGGTTTTTTTTTTCTCCCTAGGAGTGGTGATGTCACACTGACTTTTAAAGCTAAATTTTCCTTGAGAAGAGAAAGCAACATGGTCCCTGCTGGCATAAGCAGTGGCCTCTCCCCTCAATGGGTGGATCTCCAACATGTCAAACCCGAAGATTAGTGGGAGGATTGGGAGAACCACGAATCTGACCAGAACCCAAGAGGCTTAAAAATATGGTAATGCAATTAGCAGCTTTCGGCAGCCTAATGAAGCTTCTCTAAAATGCTGATAAAATACCCCTAACGGAAAATGCTGAAGAGCCTCTTCAAACTTCCCAAAATGTGAAGTGCGTCCTTATGGAGAAAATGGCAATCTAGTCGCCTTTCTCTGAGGTTCAAGATTAATTAGGGACTTATTTAGTGCATGAATGAGGAAACAAATGAACTCTCGGATAGCAAAGCATTGAAACCAATTTTTAATCTTTTTTTTTTTACACTTACATCCCTGCCATAAAAGTCTTCATTAGACGTCGTCACCAGCATGCATTGTGTTAGGGAAGTATTGCCACTGGGCTTTTGACGAGACTGCTTTTCCTTTCTTTGAACAAGGACTCTCATCACACGATAAGCCTTTTCTTTCTTCCTAAAGGTGAAGGGCTGTGGCTTGGCAGGGGAGTCCAGGCTCCAGGCAGAAAATCATCTCCCTACTTGCCCTATGCAACCCGAGTTTACCTGTGTTTCCTGTGGCTATATTATCCCCTTTGAAACTAGCACAGGCCAACGAGGTGGTTGGAGGATTTCTCTGGCTCCTTGGATAGTTCATTTCTTAATTCACCATTTTTCTGGTTGGTTTGTTTTGAGACGGTGTCTTGTTCTGTTGCCCAGGCTGGAGTGTAGTGGCACGATCTCAGCTCACTGCAACCTCTGCCTCCTGGGTTTGAGTGATTCTTGTGCCTCAGCCTCCTAAGTAGCTGCCGTTACAGGTGCATGCCAGGACACCTGGCTAATTTTCATATTTTTAGCAGAGACAAGGTTTCACCATGTTGGCCAGGTTGATCTTGAATTCCTGACCTCAGGTGATCCTCCGACCTCGGCCTCCCAAAGTGCTGGGATTATAGGTGTGAGACACTGTGTTTACTCTCCATTTATGATGAGGAGACATATGGAAGAGGGGTAAGTGCGGCATACCACCTGTCCCATGCCTGGCTACCCACCCCACACCTCCTCTCTGGCCTTGTCCCCCTCCTCACAAATGATCCACTGTGGAAGCCAGTCTGGATTGCTGCCGTCAGTGGGTCCATTCATTTCACCCAGCAGATACTGGCTGGGCAGGAAGCAGTCCTGTGCACTGCTAGGTGCTGGGACGCAGCAGTGAGGAAAACGTGTATTCTCCTGGCTCATGGGGCTCACAATCTGGGGTTGATTGCCTTGATATTTGCAAATTGCCTTGATCATTTCTGGCCCTGGTCTGCCGGTGCCAGGACTCCATAGCAAGAGCATCTTTATCTACTGGATGTGTCTGCGTGGCTGGGCAACATCACAGGTGTTGGTGGGACTCAGAAATGTGAACACGGATGCTAAGCTGGCCTCGGTGAGTCCTTCTCTTGCTCTTGCCTCTCCTCCTGCATCTGTGGATCTGGGACATGATCATCTGCGACTGCCATATCACACTTAGACTGAGAGGCTCTTGGGTGTCCTGCCTCAAGTCCCACCTCCTGCCATTCATGCCCTTGTGCGGTTCCCTCCCTTTAAGTGCGGGTGGGGACCATGCAATTAGATTGTCATATAGGAATTCATCTAGCAAGGAAGATGGCATTCCTCTCTTCCTTGCTGGCTTTATGAAACAGGTGGCCACATTGTGAGTTGCCTATGGAAGGGGGCAGGTGTGAAGGAACTTTGAGTGGCCGGCCCCCAGCTGAGAGTCAGCAAGAAATTGAGGATCTCAGTTCAACAGCTTGCAAAAACACCAGAATGCCAGCTGGGCTTGGTGGCTGACACCTGTAATCCGAGCACTTTGGGAGGCCGAGATAGGTGGATCACTTGAGGTCAGGTGTTCAAGAACAGCCTGGCCAACAGGGTGAAACCCCATCTCTACTAAAAATACAAAAATTATCCAGGCATGGTGGCGGGCACCTGTAATCCAAGCTACTCAGGAGGCTGAGGCAGGAGAATCACTTAAACCCAGGAGGTGGAGGATTCAGTGAGCCAAGATTGCACCACTGCACTCCAGCCTGGGCAACAGAGCGAAACTGCATCTAAAAAAGAAAAAGAAAACATACACCAAAAAACAGAATTCTACCAACAACCGCATAAGTTTGGAAACAGATCCTTCCCCAGTTGGCGTCTTAAGCCACTATGTGTTGGCATAATTTGTTATGCAGTCCTAATAAGCGAATTAATAAGCCCATGCAGAGACCCTATGTGGGAGCTTAGGTTGGTTGACTTACACAAGAGGCCACGTACAATAGTGAGCATGGGGTGAGAGGGTAGCTGCCACTCACTGACAGCCTTCCATGTGCTGGCTGCTGTTCCAGGAGTGACAAGGAGGGCTCCAGCAGACAGTGATGAAGATGCAGGGTCTGGAGCCAGAACATCTGTGTGTGAATCCAGCTTGACTCTTCTTACTTGCGTTGTGCTAGATGTGTTATCTGCCCTCCATGAGCCTGGGTTTTCTCACATATAAAATGGAGGTAGAGAGAGTGTATTTGTTCTTTTTCACACTGCTATAAAGACACACCCTAGACTGGGTAATCTATAAAGGAAAGAGGTTTAATTGACTCACAGTTCCACCTGGGTTGGGACGCCTCGGGAAATTTACTATCATGGCGGAAGGTGAAGGGGAAGCCAGGACCTTCATCACATGGCGGCAGGAGAGACAAGAACAAAGGGGGAACTTCCAAACACGTATCTAGCCATCAGATCTCGTGAGAACTCACTCGTTACTGTAAGAACAGCGGCAGGGAGGCGCGGAAACTGCCTCCATGATCCAATCACCTCCCTCCCTCCACACTCGGGATTACACGGCCCTCCCTGGACACATGGGGATTACGATTCGAGATCAGATTTGGGTGGGGACACTGAGCCAAACCATATCAGACAGCATCTCTCCTTTCCTCACAGAATAATTAAATGAAATATTTTATGTGAGTATTTAATGAAATACTTTTTCTGTAGAAAGTTCTCAATAAAGCACAGCATTAGTTACATAGCTAGGAGTGTAACTTCCCCACCACCAACAGATATGTGCCTGCAGCCCACTCCTGCACCCAGGCTGTTTATAATGGCAGCAATTGTGGTGTTCCCTTAACCAACATGCAGAGTCGGTGGAAATTCCAGGAGCTGCCCAGGTGGAGTGTGCACTTGGGATGTGGGGGAGTGTAGCTCAAACTTCCCGTTGGTTCTTCATCCCACTCATACAGCTCAGAGCTGAAAGCCCCGCATGGCAGACCAAGGACACACACCTGGGGTTGTGCACCCAGCGGGCTGGCTGGTAGCTGCTGGTCCAGGTAGATCACAGCAAAGCCGGCTGTGGACACACAGGACGGTGGCAGGGCAAGTGTGTAATCCAAACAGCATCCAGATGGCTCCCGTCCTGGCATCTGGGGCAGAGGAGACTCCTGTTTCCATGCTTTGTTTCTAGAGAGTTATTTGTGGCCTCTAAAGCAAACCTTCTTCCATGCCTGTTAATCAGCTCTAGAAAGCACATGTAGGAACACAATACCATAGACCTGGGGGCTTTGGCAACAGGATTGTATTTTCTTGCAGTTCTGGAGGCTGGAAATCCGAGGTCGGGGAGCAGCATGGTTGGCTTTGATGAGGCTCTCTTCCTGATTTGCAGATAGCCACCTTCTTGCTGTGGGCTCACATGGCAGAGAGGGAGTGATTCTTCTGGTATCTCTTCATTAAGACACTAATTCCATCAAGGGGTCCCACCCTCATGACGTCATCTAATGTTAATTACATCCCCAAAGCCCCATCTCCAAATACCACCACATTGTTAGGTTTGGGGGTTAGGGCTTCAACATATGAATTTGGAGGGGACACAATTCAGTCCACAGAACTCTGCTGCCACCAACATTACCCAGAGGGGCTGCCTAATGATCAGGGGAGATGCCAGCACTCTGTCCATATGGGGGAGTAGCTTCAGTGTCAGGATTTGGCTTTCCATTTAGTTTGGTGAATTATCCTATCCTTTCTCAGGGCTTTGTTTGTGCCCGGGGTCATGTTCACCATGGAGGAGTAATGGGAAGCCCCAATTTTGAAATTAATTGCAGAAGGCACAGAGCCAGCACGGGCATGGACGGGAAGGGAATGGGGGATGTGCCAGAGAAAATCCCCCCTGCTGGCTACCCCTGAACCCTGGGCCAGCGCAGAGCCTAGCTTGCAGCGGAAGCTCAGCGCGTGCTCACAGCCCGGAGAAGCACGTCGTGTTCTTGTATACAGCTTTTTGGGCAT